CGTTCCATCATTGAAATATCAAAGTGGTGATCTTTAACCAGAGTGTACGACTCAACGGATGGTCGTAGCTGCTTGTGATCTCCGATCATGATCAAGTGTTGAACCCATGGACCAAGAGCAGCAACAATCTGTGGTTCAAGTACCTCAGCAGCTTCTTCCACAATGACAACACTAGGCTTGAGTGCAGCGAGAAGCTCATGGTTCATGGATGCACCAGTGATTGTCATTCCAAGCATGATGGCGCCTGTTTCCTTCAGGTGCTGTGCTTTCTCTAAGGCTGTATGAAGGCGCAATTGCTCGCTGCAGTGTGTGAACTGGTACACTGCCTGCTCGAGTCTTCTTCGGCAGTCCTGCTTGCGCAACGAGATGATATGCTGCACAAATATCGCCCTGCGAATGCCGTCCAACCGCCACACATCATCTTCAAGAGCTGACGTCAATTCTGTGGCTACTTGGTGTGCCTGACCTTCCATACCCGGAATCTCTCTTGGCCAAGCATCACGGATGACATCCCAGTAGACCAGGCGTACAGGATCTTCCTTTGCTCTGCCGCCTTTGCGATGTTGCAGGGTTTCCTTTCGTTCCTCGTCATCCTCGCTGGATTCAGCTTCACCTGCGCTTTTCTGAGTCTGCACTGGAGTAAACTGGGCTGTTCCCGTCGCATTCGCTTGGGATGATTCCATTGTCTGGCGTAATTGGTCGAAGATTTGTTGGCCGGGAAGCCACATTGCGAGTGCCAGCTGTACAAGATGCAGTAGAGCGGACTGGTCAACGCCGAGTAGCCATTCATCTAGGTCACCCTTCGGGAATATGCCACTCAGCTTCATGTAATCGGCATAGCTCAAGCGGTCTTTCTCCACACCAAACAGCAGCTTCATGATCTGCGTAGGACTGGCATAGGTCAGAAAACCGTGTACGGAGAAGTGCGTGGCGTCAGACAACTCCTGAACAATGTCCTGTAAGTCATTAGCTGCTTTTCGCTTGCCAATTCGTTCATGTTCGCTATGTCCTGCCACGACACGGATTCGGTTGATGTTGCGTGACTCCAGTGCTTCATTATCGGATCGACCACCGGCACGCACAACTCTCATAAACTTCATGCAGGCGAGTAGGAACTCATCCAGGGCATGATTCTTGTAGGTGAGGACCAGGAAGACCTTCTGCTTCAAGCTCGACGCTGTCAGCAAGAGCTGAACCAACTTAATGCCAATGTACGTCTTGCCTGTACCGGGCGGACCTTGGATCAGTGCTAGACGATGCCTCAATGTATGTGCTATTGCTTTGCGCTGTGACAGGTCAACGCAAAGGTCTGCATCATCATCCTCCAACAGATTGAGCACATCCGGCAGAGTCATGCTTGGAGGACCCCGTAGTGCCGAAACAGCCGAGGAGAAAATCCCCCATTGTCGATGACACATCCCATCACTGCTGCTTTCCAGCTGGCGGACGGTGTCCAGTAGCCTTGTCCGTGTATCAGGCTTGTGCTGTGCGCTGAGCATGTCTGCTTTGCTACTGGTATGGTTAATACTCGCAACAGCACAGCTTTCTTGCAGGCTAGGTGCGGCCACCACACCCCCCAACTCCGAAATTTTCTGAACGACGAGTGGTTCTGCATCATTCCTGATTGCAGTGCTGCTGCTGGCCGACTCCTCCTTGTCAGCATCTTCGTTTGGCAATGGCTTGTAAAGACATGTCGGGTCAAACGAGATTTCACGCTTCTTCTTAGTGTCACTCTGTGCGTCACCAGCTTCCTCTGAGATGGCGTGTGTATCCAGATACTCGGGAGGATACTCGGTATCTTTAAGACAGTCAACAATCTCCTCGGTGAACGGAATGTCCTCGGAAGTCATATCCCGAAGACAGAGTAGCACAGGTTGATAGGCTTTGTAGTAAGCTGGGGACTCCAACATGAGCGTGGTGTGAGGTGAGGCACTTCTCATTCTGCTGATGAACTCTGCCATGTCACTACCGTTGATATCAGTGCACGGGTCCACCAGCAGAATACCCTCTGTGGCCATATTGGCATTGCTGCGTACAGTAGCCCACAGCGGATTGCTGAACGAACCGTCGGTTGTGATGCACACCAGGTTGCCATACATCAGGGCACTTGTCTTCTGCCAGTCCTTGACAGGACGTACAGGCTTCACTCTGATCCCAAGGGAGAATCCCGAGCTGCTCTGACCGATACCACGTTGGCGCCTCTTGTTCTTGTCTTTTACAAGCGATTCCATTGCATCTAGCTTCACCTGGTAGTAAACGTTCATGTCACGGATGTCTAGCTTTCCTTGAAGCAGGTTCTGTACGCCGGTTTTCAGTGCAGCAAAGCAGTCCTCTCGCAGCAGCCGGAAGTAAGTGTCAAGATAATCATCAACTGATTTGTAGTTGCCATGACGACGAACAACCGGGAGAGCTGGACCAGTGTACGCTGTGGCTGACCATTCTCCAGTTGCCGTGGTGATAAGCTGACCAGTCAGCTCAGTGCTGGTCGGCGCAAGCGGCAAGTTGCTCCATGAACATGTCTCCGGATCATTGTCAGTTGTCGTGACAACCGTACATTGTAGAAACTTCAATAGGCACTGCTTCACACGGTCCTGTGGGAATGATGGCATATCCACCATCTTTCTGACCAATGGCACAACAAGCTGTAGCAGGCTGTTGTCTGCGGTGCACAGTGCCAGGAGAAAGTCTTCAAGTAACTGCCAATCCGGGTAACTTTGCTGCATGTACCCCAACAATGCTCCAGTGACTGGATTGAAGAATGTACACTTGCTTATTGCAGCAGTCAAGTTTTTGAAGACGTTGGGCATCGCGCGGAGGAAGTCTTTCAGGTCCAGAAGTGTTTTGATGATTCTGCCAGTCAAGGTGTTGGCTGAATCTTTGTCGCTGATTGGCTGATTCAACATTGTCTTCCATATTAGGTGAGCATTGAGATATCGTACAGCCGTCACTCTGTCGTCCGCCTTTACCAAGCTGCACAAATCATCTAGCCAGCTAATGAACTGCTTCGCTGTGGAGTTGATGGCAGTCACGGTTACTTCTGATGCTCGTGCGTTTTGGGCTTGCACTTGTTTCTTTCTCGTCTCCTCGAGCTTGAACTTCACTACGTCGGAAGGCGAGAGAGACATGCCGGCGATTGCGTCCAGCTTCACACGGGTAAAGTGAAAGAAGACATCGTTGTCGGACCGCATATCGAGCGAAGTGTTGCCGTCTTCCGACTGTTGCTGGGGCTGGATGAAACCGATTGATTTATCAGGTATGACGCGTGCAACAATCCCCGTTTTCCAGCGGCGTTTCCCGTCCTCCTGTTCAGGACGCTTCATGGCAAGCATTGTCTTTCCACTTTCTTTAGCTAGTTGCAGTGCCCACGGCTTGGCCTTTCTAGCCGGAGCTGCTTTGGAAGATCGTTCCAACTACAAGCAACATAAGAAGAAACAAGGACAGAGATATTGCATTAGAATACTGTTTAGTGACTCACTGCACACTTCCAGAGCACAGGTTGACGGTCATCGCAAAGCACTCAATCAAGCGACATTAAACTCAATTTTTATCTATCGACCAGCTAAGTCTGAAAATCACACTGTGACGTAGAATTTGAAATTGTACATGACGCTTTGCTACAGCTACAGCTTCGTGTATGGATGTTTCACATGCCAATAGCAAAGTTCCTGGCACTGGCAGCTCTTTACATCACACTGTTTACGATTTTTAGACGGTATGCCTCTTCGGATAGGTTGAGACAGCGATTTCACATTCGTAAAGCGCATGAGATTAGTCTTGTGTGGATCCAAGAAATGCACCCCAAACATTGGGAAAAGTGATTCGAGTGCTGCTCACCTGGTCGAATTTGTCAGGTTGTAGCCGCTTTAGCTGCTTCGGCTGCTCTGTCTGTTCTGGTCGTGACTGAAGCTCATCATCTGTGGGGCTGCTATGTACATCAGATTCCCTGACGTCAAAGCTATCTTGGCCGGCCGCCATAGTAACATCTTCAAGCTGTCGCCGTCGACTGAAGTCAATAATTTTCGGCTGAGGTGGCTTGGGAGGCTTGGGAGACCTGCGAGGCTTTAAAAAGGTTCTGCGAGCTCGTTTCCAGGACCTCTGCTCTTCTAGATCATCGCTGTCACTGTCGGAATCATCTGTATCTTCCAGGACCTCCAGCTCGATACCACCACCCTGGTATGGATTGTACCGGGCAGCGTACTGGTTGTGTTCATAGCTGGCGTGTGAATAACCACTGGCATTGCCGGCTGGTGGGTGATTTCCACCTCCCCACAGTTGGCCGCCTGCGCGCCCATTAGGAATGGCTGAAGCCATCGCTGTGCATCAGGCGGCAGTCTGAGAATCACAAACAAGTGCATGCACGTATTCAAACATTCACCGAAACACACGCCATCATTAGAAAAAAACGATGTCAAAAGGAGCAATTCCCAGGACTATAATGGCAGCAAAACTGGAATAGAAAAGTTCACGCTAGTCGACTAATCACACAGAATGTGCTAACACAGAGCCAGAGCAACACCTCACAGTACAGTCAGACCTCGCTTAACCGCACGCATCTGTTTTCCGCAAAAGTATCCGGATAGATGAGGGAACCGGATAATCGAACGCACATACTGTATGTATGTATGGCATACGCTGTAAACCAGTTACCAACGATTTTCTTCCGGATGGCGAGGGATCCGTATAAAAGAAGACCGGATAAGCGAGGTCTGGCTGTACATGTACTGGCATCAGTAGACCTACAAGGTAACACCACACACTATAATTATCATGTACTGGTATTGGTTAGAGCAGAGCTAGGCTAACAGCTCACAGCATCATGTGCTGGTATTGGGTAGAGCAGAGCTAGGCTAACAGCTCACAGCATCATGTGCTGGTATTGGGTAGAGCAGAGCTAGGCTAACAGCTCACAGCATCATGTACTGGTATTGGGTAGAGCAGAGCTAGGCTAACAGCTCACAGCAGCACAGGGCATGCCTGTGCTAGCACAGCCTCCTATTCCATTATGGTTGTCTGATGATTGGCTCAGCCATGAAACTCCGAGTCACAACGGAATTTGCCAAGGTTTTCATTGCTTGCCTTTGTGTACTAGCACAGAAGTGACCAGGTGGCATGCAGTCAGGTGGCATACAGTCAGGTGGCATGCAGTCAGGTGGCATGCAGTCAGGTGGCATGCAGTCAGGTGGCATGCAGTCAGGTGGCATACAGTCAGGTGGCATGCAGTCAGGTGGCATGCAGTCAGGTGGCATGCAGTCAGGTGGCATGCAGTCAGGTGGCATACAGTCAGGTGGCATACAGTCAGGTGGCATGCAGTCAGGTGGCATACAGTCAGGTGGCATGCAGTCAGGTGGCATGCAGTCAGGTGGCATACAGTCAGGTGGCATACAGTCAGGTGGCATGCAGTCAGGTGGCATACAGTCAGGTGGCATGCAGTCAGGTGGCATACAGTCAGGTGGCATACAGTCAGGTGGCATGCAGTCAGGTGGCATACAGTCAGGTGGCATACAGTGCATCACACTAACTCTACTGTGAACGAATCATACAAACGATAAACAATAATGGAAAATAGCACAGCACACCAGCGATACTACCATTATTTTAGTGAACTATCACATGTTTATAAGACTCCACAAACCCAAAAAGCGGTGTAACATATAATTCGATTTGAATCGCAGTAAAGAGACCTTCGGAGTGCTGAGTTGAAAGGTCTTGGTCCGAGGAAGCTGAGACACTCCGCTCCTCCTTTATTCCCAATCGAACTCGTGCACTTCCACCGAAACTGGTTGACTGCACCCTGCCAGATGGGGATTTGTACGCAAAATGTCACTAAAAGCGTCATTTCGTTCTTATAAAGCACGGATGAACGCGATTGGCCCATATGTCGTAGTCTTTCGGACGCCGCGTCCACTGGTTTGGGTTTGAGAAGGCTGATGCAGCGTTCGGCTCTTATTCCCAATCGAACATGGTTAAATAAGTGGCCAAGTTCTCATGCGTACCCCAGTCGCCTGCCGGGTCACCGTACCTGCAGACTACAACTTTCACACCAAGGCTCAACTCAAAGTTTCAAAGGTTCAACTCGAGTGACAGGAACGCGTTCAAACAGGTTGTAGGCTAGAACCCTGAACACTCAGATCTATCATATCCGGACCTGCAAGTTATGGGCACCTTTGTCTACCGGGCACCATGCGTGTATACGTGTGTGTGTACGTGTGTGTGCACGTGTGTGTGTGTGCGTGTGTGCGTGCATGCGCATGTGTGTGTGCGTGTGTGTGTGTGTGTGTGTGTGTGTGTGTGTGTGTGTGTGTGTGTGTGTGTGCCCCCAGTGTCACCGATGGTTTCGGAGTGAGGGTGGCATTGCAGTCCATATCTGTGCCCAGTCCAGTTCTGCCCCGAATGTTGCCAATGCCACAAGCTCTTCACCTGTACGCCTATGTATTCAGAAGCCGTGCTGTACCGCTCACTGTCCCATTTGTGAACGTTGCTGGAAGTCGATCAGGGGCTTTGCTATCCACAACTGCAACCGATCCACCACTGAGGCGCCCAACTGCTGATGAAAGGGACAAGTTCGAATTTGCAATGTCAGAATTGCCAGAGGCGTTTCAAAAGGCAAAACGACTTATCCCGTCACCAACGCTCATGTCTCTTCTCGTCTCCGTCTCGCTCAACGAAAAACACGTGACCTACATGGCAGTGTATACCAGGACCAGGACCAGGTGTGTGTGTGTGTGTGTGTGTGTGTGTGTGTGTGTGTGTGTGTGTGTGTGTGTGTGTGTGTGCGTGCGTGTGTGTGTGTGTGTGTGTGTGTGTGTGTGTGTGTGTGTGTGTGTGTGTGTGTGTGTGTGTGTGTGTTTTAGTGGAAATATTACTTCTCTTTTCCCAAGTTTTGTGGACTGAAATAGTGACGTCCTATCCCAGATCAAAATGTAGGTGATTCAGACTCATCAGCCTGAGTTGTTGTCATCAACATGATGTCAGCAGGTCAGGCAGGTATGGAGTGGAAGAGGCACTTACCGTACAGCTCTCGATGAGAGGTTCTACGCCAGATGATGGTGTGAGCCAGCGATAAAATAATTGATAAAGCTGGTGCTCAGCGCCTACGAGTGCACTGCATAGGTCACGCACTGTTGCAGTGCGTGGAGCACAGCGTTGAAGCCGTGTGACTTGATCCAGTACTCTCCTGAGTGTTGGCAACATCAGGCACCTGTCTTGAGCACGAGCTGCGGGTGCAGCACTCACTGCTACAGCCAGTACGGTACAGGCGGACCTTCACTCGGCGATGGATGATCGAACTTGTTTCAGAGACTCACTGATGTTTTGCAATGGCCAGTCGTTATCGCTCGCTTGTCAAGTTAGTTGTGAGCTTCTGATCCAGATCGCTCTAACACTGATACGCGAGTCCGTCCAGTCCTACCTTTGCTAGGACACTGATGGCTAATGGCCTTGTACTTATATAAAGCTAAGACCCCTATCGTTCTTGGAACCACTGTTCGGACGAAGAAGTCACGGTTAATTCTGGTGCTCCTTTGCTCCGACGTGCAGATACTGTTGTTGAGTTTTGGTTGGTGCTGGTTTCTGTCGAATCCGGAGTTTCGAAACGATCGAAACTTTCGAAAGTAACCTTTGGCAGCTTGGGAAATCTCATCTTTCATTCATTTGACTGTGCACTTTCCTGACCATGTTGATTTTGTAGGCATGATGTCTTCATGGTCTTGGTGCTTGTAGCGAAACCAACCTGGCCGGCCAGGGCTTTTACGAATCCCTGCTTCAGACTCTGCTCTGCGAACTCCACGGGAAACCCCCCGAAATGAATATGCCAGGCAATGACTGGGCCGAGGCCCGAGTGCAACAAACCATTACATTGTTGGACATCACAATCATCATGTGGACGGGTGCGGCACCACTTACACATGCAGTGCTAGCTACAAGTATTCTGAAAATTAATGTTATTATACTAGTTATCACCCACACGCACATCAAGCAAGTGGAAGTTGGGGTTGCCGAACTGCTGCGGCTGGATCATATCAAGTGTTTTGTAACAGAATTTGTAATCAGCGAATTGTTTGCAACAATGCATTTATACCCGGCGGCCCCGCAAAGCGGGATTGTAGAAAATTCTGTAACAATGCTGGTAGATGGCAGGCAGTGCAAGAGATTAAGGCCAATGATCCTAACTAATGCTGCTGTGCCCTTGTGGGGCACGGCTGTGCGCAGGTAGTCAAATGACTGCTGGTCAAATGACTGCTGGGACCGGACGGTCCTGCTGTATGCTGGGGCCAATTGGCCCGGCTGCTGGACACAATGTGTCTATGCTGGGACCATGTGGGGCACGGCTGTGCGCAGGTAGTCAAATGACTGCTGGGACCGGACGGTCCTGCTGTATGCTGGGGCCAATTGGCCCGGCTGCTGGACACAATGTGTCTATGCTGGGACCAGCTGGTCCTGCTGGGACCATGTGGTCCTGCTGCTGGGCAGCGCGTGCCGCCAGTGCTTGAAAGCTCATGCAGAGAATTGTTCCAAAATGAATTCAGCTGAGGGGCTTTGCTTGCTTCCCCAAGAAGAGTCAGTGGTTAGTGGCAACCCCGCTTATACACACTGCTCTTAGCCATATTTTCTTTCTCGCTTTCTTTCCGCGGTTGAGTAAACGCTGTGCTACATGCATGCAGATAGGCTTAGCAGTGACACTGCGCAACACAATGCGTTAAAGAGTTTGAGTATGTGGTCCAGGCTGGAGCAGAGATCCTTAATCGGGCAAGCTGCTGAGAGTTCATATTCTCACATAAGGGGGTGCAGAGTGCTTAGAGTATTTTGGGCAGGATTGATACAAAAACAGTGCCCAGCAGCACGCGCATGCACACATGGCAGTGTAGCCGGCTCATTGCTGGCCAGTAGGCAGGCCAGCCGGCACACGGAGGTACGTTTTGTACATGTCACTAGCCCAGCGGCCGGCCTTCTGGAGCTGCCAAGCTGAGGCATTCCTTCCGGCCATTGCAATAGCCCCGCCAATCCTGAGGGAGTGACTGCTAACACCCGGATCTAGGGCTCTCGTCATCCAGTAGTTCACATCTTTGACTGTGAAATATTGCCCACTTCGGAATATGAACAGCGGTGACGTCGTTGGCGTTGCGTGGCGGATAGCGTGGTACTTGTGCATTGCTTGGACAGGGCAGAGCTGGCTGCCGGACCATGGCTGCAAGATGACTTGCCCCCAGTGCCACGTTGGGAGGTCTTCGTTATCCCGAGTCGTATGCTGATCTGAGTCCCAGTGAGTGAGACTTGACCCAGGGTCAGAGTGCGGCCATTCGAAGCGGAGCGGGGAGAGGCGGCAGTATCCTCGCTCACTATGAGCAATCCCGCAAAGGCTGTCATGAAGGTGGCCCAGAGCATGCACCTGTCCGATTCGCAGTAGTGGGAGCGCTGGATCACGGTCAAGAGCTGCTGCAGGTCTGATTGGGTGATAGCCTGGCGTTGACATTGTGTCGGTGCTGCTTGCTGGCGGTGCTGCCATTGCTGACGCTCCGCTCCCTTCAGGGCTGCTGTAACTCTATCGTGCTGAGTTGTGTGTGACGGCCCACCATGGCAGAGGAGGTAATACCTCACGGCGGATACATATACTCGGATGGTTGCGCTAGATCTGTGACCGGGTACGCAGTGGGTGATGAATGCAAGTAAGTCATTTACCGACGGCCTACTCGGCTGGCATCCCAGTTGTGTACACAGCTTCAGATACGCCCCAGACCCTGGCGGGTATGTGCGGGCAGAACTTGGGGCTACTGAGTCCCTAATTAGGTCGCCGGCCTTTATCAGTAGCGTCTGACAGAGATGATGTGCTCAGAGCACATCATCTCTGTCGAGCAACTAGTATGATAGCTCTGCTCGGGACCGCTAGAGCTGAGCTGGCAAATGACTCCGCATGGAGCAAATGACTCCGCATGGAGCCGGCAAATGACTCCGCATGGAGCCGCCAATGACTCTGAGTAGAGCCACCTAATGCTAAATATAAAGGTATGCATGACAGTTGAGAGCATATATTCTCATGGATTGTAAGAATACATTCTCGCGCCACATATATACTGGTACACACAGATTATAGACAGCAATAGCGACAACACACAAATTGAAGGGTAGTTGGCCGCAGCCAGATGTGAACCGAAGCACGAGTGAGGCATGAAAGCAAGCACTGAGAACAGAGTGTGTCTCAAATGGGAAAGATGTGCATGCGGATAACAGAAATAGGCCATGATGCAGAACCACTTGGGACCGTCAGATTAATTTTCCTGGACCGAGCCAGCCGGGAAAAAACCCTCGCGCCGACGGACGCAGTAGTGAGGGAAAAAACCGGGTGTATAACCCCAATGGCGATTTGGCATCATGTAGGCATGGCACGCACAAATCTGCATATTGGCAAGAGATAAAGAACACGCCCGATGCCGTATATGCAACCGAAACATGTTGAGCGAGAAATACAACGTCATGTGTGCGCCAGAAACGTGAGTTGAGGTAACGGGTGGGAGGT